GCGCAGATGTGCTTGGCGCTCCTGTCTCACAGGCGTAAGAACAGGCAGGCTCAGGCCTGAGCTGCAGCCTGGGAACGGGGATTCCTCCCATTCTCCTGCTGCCTCACACACATTGCTTACTGTGTTCCCACCTGGCACCTAGCCTTTGCAGGGAGGCGGAAGTCCTAAGGCATTATCAGGGGGCAGAGAAGTCTGCGAGGATATGCATGGAACACCTCGATTCTTACAATTTATTTGGGTTTTTTTTAAAGTTTGTCGAAAGAACAAATATAATGTCCAAAAAAAGCAATTAAAAAATCCTCAGGATATACTTGGGCTGGGTGCCCACCTCAGTGTTTTTAACAGTCTGCTTTGTGTTTCAGGGGTGAATTTCCTGGGCAAAGCAGAAGTTGGGGGACCAGTAGGACAAGACTTCCTTCCCCACTAGCACCAACCAGATCAGGACATAATGCTTGAGCATATGATGCATAAGATGCAGCTGTACTTGATGCAGCATGACTGCATTGGTCTGCTTTATGTTCAATGGCAAATTTAGCAAAGAGGTTGAGGACTGCATGAAATTTGCAAATTCAACAGAAAGCTCTTGAGCATTGAAATTGGCTGAGAGAGACAGTCAGACGGGACATCTTGTTTCTGAATAAAAAGCAAGCTCTGATCACAAAGCTGCAGCCTTTCACCGTTGTTCGTGAATGTATTAATGGGCATTTCTGATTATGTGTAAGCTAATTCACAAATTGCATCAAGTTGGGTGAGAATTTGCCTGTAGTAGGATTTTATAGCCCTGAGTGCTGGCTATTGGAAGTTCATTATCTCTAATCTGAAGAAGAGCTTGAAAGGCCAGACCTTTCTATTCAGCTAATTTGTTGACATTAAGTACAATGTACCTCTCCAACTTATGTTGCTGTAGTGCAGTAACTGAAATAAACAAAGCAAGCAGTTTTGGACATCTCTATTTATATGCTACACTTGTATAGGGTTTTAAAAAATTCCATAATCTTAATCTTAAAAAAAGTTCAAAAATATTAGTTTACCAAATGCAGAAATCACCATAACTGGTATAAATCAGGAAAACTTACATATCTCTTTTCTTACAAGAAAAACACACAAATCATTTAAGATGGTACAAGCGAGAAAATGTCTACTAAACAGTTTGGAAAAAAAAATATTTTGCAAAATAAAGGCCATCTGAAGTTTAGTCTTGACATAAACACTCAAGTGTCAGGGCAATCCAGCTCCTAAGCCAGGCCATTCCTCAGAAAATACCTTTCATCCTCACACACCAATAAATTAAGATACATAACTACCTACTCCTCTTTAACATAAAAAAACTTAAACATTTTGCATTCATTAGAAGATCAACTGATAGCTTGAAAGGAAATGTGTACTTTTTTTAAGCACAAAGTATCCTCAATTGTTAAGCTGTATCTCCATGGTAAAATAATGTTGTGCTTTCAGCTTGTACAGGCATGTCCCTCCTAGCTGTGTTCTGGTTAGCACACATCCTGACTACCACGTAGAGGGGCGGTGGGCTAGCCTGAGTGAGGAATGGGCACAGTCAGGGTTGGGCTTGTTCTCTGCTCCTTGGCAGGCTATTTTAGAAGATGTGCCTGGGGCTACAGCGGATATTTGCTGATACTGCTGGCCAGGTTGAATGGGAGTCTTCCACTTGCAATCTTGGCCCATCTTCCTTCCTTAAGTGAGTGGTTCTCTGTGAATATGGTCACTGATGGATTTGCAGCTTTTGATAAGATTCATAGATGTGTTGCTAATTGCAGGCTCCAACTGAGGCTTTTCTCACAGGTGGGGTGTTCAGAGGAGCAGCTCTTCCCAGTGGGAACACTCTTATATTTCTCATAGGTGTCACCCTTTGACTTCGCCATGGTCCAGGTGCCACCAGAGTCACTCTCCTCCAAGTGGCTGCCTGCTGTCATCAGTTACACAGCTGGAACAGCTGGGGGTGCCCCAGGGTGGAAGGGTACCTGACAGGACCAGGGGAGCTTACCTGTGCAGAGCCTCGCTCAGGAGGTTGGGTCTTCTTGGTATATATTAGAATATAAAGTATTTATCTCCTCTGGTTATGGGGGACATTTCTACTCCTCTGTCACATTTGGCTGAAATTGTCCTGGAGTTTCAGCAGTCATGGAAAAGGAAAGGGAATGTGTGTGCACACGCAAGTCTCATTTCTGAAGAGAAACCCTCCCTCCCATCCAAATGACCTTAACTAATAGAGAAGTTTTCTTAAAGGGAGCGCAGTTGTTTTGGCTGACTGCTTTGGATATAATCTTTGAAATGAGTGACTATGTTAAATCATGATAATTAGGTCTGACCATTAACCTCCCACAGAGCTGATTACAGGGATGGGGGTGATGAGGAAGTTTTTTATTTTTCTTAGTGCTATTGTTTCAGTCTGTTTGCAGAGTAAACACAATGAGTGTGTCAGTTGATTATGCCGCAGACCATCTCTCAAGCCAGAGGAGACGGATATTTAGTTTTTACATGTGAAAACTTGGGTTTTAGAGAAAATGGGCTCTGAGGAGATGTTGGGGAGGCTCTAGGTCTATGCACCTGTGTCTTTCCAGCCATCCTGACTGTTTACTTACTGAGTGGCTGTTCCTAGAGCATTTATCCCCTTTACTTTAGCTTCTCCACAACACAATCGCATACAACACCTCTGAGGGACAGCACACTCTTCATTGCTTTAAGATTGTCTTGACTAAGTTAGAGCAGCAGAGATTGACTCCTCCCTTCCAGCATTTCTGCAGACAAGCACAGCCCAACTCTTCAAAGGTGTGTTTTTAAAGGGCATCTCGCAGTCTGGCTGTAGTGCTCATAAACCAGTTATGACTATCGCATGGCTATGAGCGCGTCGAGTAACAAAAGGCAGTTATTGATTGTAAGGGAAGATTGCTACAGGAAGGAGAGCGAGTGGTATTTTGTGCATTGCAATGGGCAGCCGCCCATGCGGTGAAACAGCCCAGGTTTAGCTGAAGGGGAGCTTTGTTAAGGAAAGGAGAATCCTTGCCTGGAATAATTGCCTCTGAGCCAGGGAGAATTGGCTACTCCAGAGTGGGAACAGGCCCTCAGCTACCTCTGGCACAAACAGCGGGGCTGTTGCAAATCTGATTTGAGTCGCTAACAATAAGGTATTGAAAAGGCAAGCAGACCTCGCAGTTCTCTCTGTCTTTCCTTGGGCTCCTAATTTATGCTTCAGCTTTGCTTGCTGAAGCAAACCTGTAACGACACAAATGTGTATGTGCTAACAAGAAGGACAAAGATCTTTGGAAGAGACAGCAAAAGGCCAGGCAGAAAGAAAGGTCCTTGAAAAAGAAAGGAAGCTTCTAAAAATCCAGATATTTTACATGAAAGGAAAATATAACCTGAACTGTAATTGTTGGCTGTATGTTGTGATAGAAAGCTACGAAATACTCTCTTCCCCCACAGAGCTCATAAAACCGTGCTCTGTGTACCAGACAGATTATTTTGTTTTTCATTAAATAAAGTAAGTTGTAAACGGTGCTCTGTACCATAGAGATGATAATCTCCACCATCCCCCTCGTCTTCCTTAAACATGGGAGCAGGCACTATGCAGGCTGTGCTCGGGCAGCGTGGAGCCCTGGGCGAAGCCCCAGCCTGCCGGTCACCGCGGTTTGGGGGCTGCAGGCAAGACACACTCCCCGCGTCCGAGAGCGTTTACCGCGTGGGTTCAGCTGTGCTTTTATCAAATCCTATTTCTGAAATCAAATAAAAGGCTCGGTTGCACAGTGTTTGAATGCTGCTCTGTGCAACAGCAGCAGTTGGTTGGGTTAGGTCTGTGGAGCTGGCACCGCTGCAGGCAGGGGAGAGCAAAAAGAGGAGACTGAATAATGAATAGTTTTTATGTAGAAGATAGCAAGAAATGTTTTATGAAGGTCACTGGGAATAACTGCTAGTTTTAAGTCAGTATATTCAGTTATTCTGCCATCTTTGCAGCTTTCAAATTTGTGAGGTGTAATGTGTTAAAAGTTTCATCGTGATCCTTGTAACTTGAGCCACAATTCTTGACAGTGCTCTTGCAACATGGAATAAGCAGCACACCCCTCGCTCCACTATTTCCTTGCCTAATGTGTTTGCCTACTATCTTGTGTAATCGGAATGCTACTTTTTTTTTTCCTAGCTCTTTTATCCATGAGTTTATTGAACATTTTACAAAAGCAGGTACTATCGTCTTCATATATGTTTCCATTATACTGGAAATTTCAGCCATAGCCATGGTGCAGCAGCCTCTCCTGTGATATACAAAGGCACTGGCCAGTTTGTACCACTTTCAGGCTGGAGGAAACTGCTCTGCTGCAAATCCCACTTACTAATGGTCTTGTGTGTATTGCCATGGGTCTGAAACTAGATGTGGTGAGTGATAAAGTGGGATTTGAGGCAAAATATGTTGACTTCTGCTCCATCCACTGGACCCATTGCTCATGTCCTGTTACAGAAGACCTCTCTGAAATTACAGACAAATTGCATTCCAAAAGCAGAGAATAGCTCAATTATAAGGTGTACCCTTATTAAATACTGAACTATACTCAGTTTAGGTGAACACTAGATTAGTATTAAATACTACTTCTTTTTTTTTTTTTCATTCATGTCTTATTATTATAACTGATTTCAGTGAAATGTATTTTTCCCTAATCAAAGGTACATCTAACAAAAATACTGGGGCAAAATGTTCTTATATTGTTACTTGCTTTTTTTCAAAGTAGTTTTAAAATATTTTGATAGCTCTATCTGTATACTAGTAAAAATACATTTGAATTATTATCAACAGATCTGCACACATTTAATTTTTTTGGTTAAGTACTGAAGATACCTAATACTGATAAATATTTATGTCACCAAATTTAATAGAGAGATGCTTGCTTGATGTAATCATATCACTTTCATTGAACTATGTGATGTTCTCTAACATGCCTTGTGAATAAAGTAATCCCTTCTGGATCACCATTTTATTCTTCCTGTCTATGCAGTAACAAGCGACTTGTGGCCTTAGTGCCAAATGACACTTCATTCAACACCAGACGAGCCTACACCAGCGAAGATGAAGCCTGGAAGTCGTATTTGGAGAATCCCCTAACAGCAGCTACCAAGGCTATGATGAGCATAAATGGTGATGAGGACAGTGCTGCTGCTCTTGGCCTATTGTATGACTATTATAAAGTAGGTAACTCCATCATTATTCCTCCCCGCTGCACTAGCAGGGGACTGCTCTAAGAGGCATCAAAAGAGCCAGTTTTCAAAGACAGAAGTCGCTGCATCTTGTTTTCTCTCTGTTACTTGCATCAAGCACCCTTTCCGTTTTAGGGGAAGCCTGTCTGAGGCTGTTTTGATGTGTTTAGTTCTGGAGAGAAAAAACAAAATCAGTATTCCCATATTAAATTTGCAACCATGATTTCCTTGTGAGCATAGCTTTCTTCGTCTTCCTTTGCAAGAGCATTGGATGAATAAGCCCCCTTTTTATTTGTGGTTGCATAGTTGCAGTATTCTTTAAAAAGTGGAAAAGAGGAGGCCTTGTCCATCTATAGGTTTGTCTGCTTTTCTGTTTCATTTCACACATGTTTTAGTTTGTTCTTTAACTGGAGTATCTCTCATCTGACAGTTTCCCATGTTATTTTTATTTGTATAATGATTGCAGTAGGCTGTATACAAACATACAGTGAGGTGTAGCCCTGGAATGGTGGAGGACAGAAACAGAGCTGGACACAGAGACAGAGATCTAAGTCAATTGATAGGGGAAGTACTGACACACAGTTTCAGTTTATGTCAGGTTCTAAGCCCAGGGCTTTACCTACCATTTTGATACCAGCTTTCTTTTTCGTGTATTTCATAGTGTTTAAGCAGAACAATGTTTGAGATTTCTGCTGAAATCAGAGGAGAGTCCTACAGGGTGCATCTCTGTCATGCAGAAATTTCACTCTGAAACCCAGGCTACCCCTTTGTACTCTGCAAATGGAGTCAGTGTTGCCTACCAAGCACTGAAATATAAAATTGTTCGTTTCACTTAAACTATCTCAGTACTGCTGAAACCACCTATGCCTGCATTGGACAGATATCTTCTGTGAAAGCCAGCAGAACAATGCCAGCTCCCCTCGTAAT